ATCTCAGCCTCCCAAGCAGCTAGGATTACAGGCGAGCCACCAGCGCTCAGCCCATCTTTGCTTTAAGGCCTCATCAACCCCAAGTGCCCTCCATTGCCAATTACTTCATTCCAAAGGAACGTCCACTCTAGATCCCTCCTCCTTCTGGAAGCTTCTCCTAGTAACTTGTCCCTTCCCCTGGAGCCAGGTAAGCCCAGGCAGCATTTACTGGGTGGGGGCAGGCTGCTTTTCTGGTTCTGCCAAAGGCAGGAGAAAGGGAAAGCAAGCTTCAGACCTGGAGCTGAGTTCCTGCCAGCTACGTAGGCAATCAGTGCCCCAGGCCCACTGGGAACTGGGAAGTAAGTTCTAGGGGTCCAGCCGACATCCAGTTAAAGAAGGCAGGGCCCAAACCCTGCAGAACTGATGCAAAGTGCCGATCGGTCACATTGGGCAAGCGGCAAACGCTCTCACAGATGGTTAAATAATAGCAGTGTCAAGGCCCCAGCTCTGCCAATTTCCGCCTGTGTAACTTTGAGCAGAGTTCCCCTTTGTTCAATAGTTTCCTCACCTGGCCTGTAAAATGAAGACTGTGGTTAATCCATTTACTCAATACATAATTATTGAGCACGCTGTTCTATGCTGGACCCAACTAAATCTGTCATTTAGTGTTACTTAAAGGATGTGACCTGGTGCCCGGCATATACTAGGTTGTCAATAAATGTCAGTTTTCTTATATAAGTCCCAGAGGCAGGGGGTGGAAAGGGTTGGGATAGAGAAAGGGAACTCAGGAGGGAGGGGCGGAGGGCCCCAGGCCTGCTGCATCTTGAATTCCCAGCCTCTCCTTCCCTTCTTGTTAACATGGCTTCCATCTGCCTCTAAAGACGGGGATGGGTTGGGGGTCGGCATGGTGCCCACCTTTCTGCCCCTTGGTTTCATCAAACCACCTCTAGCGATCACAACATCTGTCCCTCTGGCCACCCCTCCCTCCCCCAGACATGATCCAGAGTGACCTCCTTATCAACCTGTCTCCTGCCTCATGCTTCTGGCCCCCTCCCACTTCTGGCTTCTTTCCCAGGCATCACAGGCTGGGCTCAGTGTCATCTCAGGCTTCCTCATACTGTTCAGCTTTGACTTTACCCAGCTCCCAGTCACACCAGACCAGACCCTCACAAGGAGTGTGTGTGTGTGTGTGTGTGTGCAAGCTACATGAGACCTGGCACATAAGAGGTCCTTAATGATAGCTGACCAAGCCAAGCATGGTGATAGGTGCCAGTAATCCCAGCACTGGGAAGCTGAGAGGATCACAAGTTCAAGGCCAGCCTGTGCTAAATAATGAGCTCCTGTCTCAGAAAACGAAATAATAATAATAATGATAATAATAATAATAATAATAATAACTGACTGAAAGAATGCACAATGGATGTCCCCTGTGCAAATGGGGCTCATTCATTCACTCAAGAAGCATTTATTGAACACATGATCCATCTGGTGCCAGGCTAAGTCAGGAGTTGTAACATTCAGGTTGACAGCAACCAAGTTCTTCAAAGATTGAACCATGTTCTCAGGCTTCCTTCTCCCAAAACACTCCCACTTCCAAGGCTACTCAGCTCTCAGGATACCCAGCCCCAACCTTGCCCCCAGAGCCCAGAGCACTGATCACACCACATGTTTTTTTACTGCAACAGATGTCTGAGTACTAAGTCACTGACTTTGGGGTCAATCCTGGTCCCATGACTCATCTGCAAGCCCTTTAGCAAGTTACCTGGTTCTCAGAACCTCAGATAAACTGATATAAAGTAAAATTTCTTATCTCATAATTGCTGTGCGGAGCACCTGAGATAAAGTATGTATTTAGAACAAATGTCCAGAGAACAGTATGTGCTCAGTGACTGGAGGCAGTTGATTACGCTTGACCCTTTTCTGTCCCAAGAGCCTGGCTCCCTCCTGCCTGCTCCACAACACAAGCCTGTGCACCCAGCAGGTGCTGAGTGAAATCAGATGTCCCAGAAGCAGATCCAGTAGTCCTTGCAGATCCTCAAGCAAAGACTTGGAGGCAGGGAGGAGCAGAAAGCAGGTGATCGTCTGAAGCTCGCCCATTCTATAGTTCACCTGCTCGGACGGTCAGAATGCTCTCTTTCCCTGGGTGGATCTTCCCTGTCAGTGAAGCCCGGACCAGGCATGGCATCTAAGTGCTTTCTGGGCCTTCCCCACAATGAACCAAGGTCCACTCCGAAACCCATTCCCCTCCCGGGACATGCTCACTCACCCCACTGCCCCATCTATCACAAGTGACAGATATCAGCCACAACCACATACAGCTACCCAGAACCAGGGTGGGGTGAGGGCTCTTCCAGGACGCAATGATCCTTACCCAGAGTTCTCCTAGACCCCTGGCTCTGGCCTTTGATTTCTTCCTCTGTGAAGTAAAACTATTCTCTTGGGTTATTTTCCTGACTGTCGTGAAGACCGGAGACTCCAAGGGTAAACATAATCTTGCCATCAGAGAGGAAAGCCAAGTCTCAGAGGGAACACTGAATGTGTATACCAGAGCAAGGTGAGCCCATTCCTGGGTGAGGACTGCCCTCTCCTCACATCGGGGAGGGCAGAACCCAGCTAACCCACTTCCCCCAGGAAACTCCTAACCTTCCTCCTCTGAACCAAGGTCCTGAGGCTGATCTGCACCAAGTGCCCAAGGGTTTCCTGGCTGGTAAGGGACTTGCCCCTCCCCCCACCACTGGATGGCCACTCTGGAGGCTGCACCTTGACTGGTTCTGCAGGGCGCTGACCTCACCCCTCCTGAGGAGAGACCCTAGCCTGTGGAGCGCCCTAGGTCTTCTGGATCTCCTCCCTGTAATATCCCTGTGTCTGCTCTAGGGCAGCCTGCACAATCTTGCTGGCCCCCACAGCTGGGGCTGGACATTACCAAGCTGGGGGAAGCAGGTCTGCCAGCCTGGAGAACACATAAGGCTCCTTCCTGATGGGCTGGAAATCTGCCTTAATTGAAACGTGCAACAGGGAGGCCCCACAACAGAGGAGCAATGTCCTCACTGTGCCATGGACACCATCTCTCTGCTCTGGGTAAGAGACAGTGAATTGGCTACAGCCATCTCCCAGTCTTCTGCTCCTTCCACAAACAAAGCCATGTGGTGCCTGTGATGCGACATGGACTCTAGTCAGGTAGGAGTGCCTTCTTTCCCCATCCACACAGGGTTCCCCCACCCTGTGTTGGGTGGGGCCACACTGACCACAGGGCACGCCTAGCACCTTCATTTTATCAAGTGCTTTCACACAGGTCATCTTGTTGGAGCCCTATGGCAGCCAGTGAGGTAGATGAAGACCGTTATACCCATTTTACAGATGAGGTAGAAAGGCTCAGAGAGTGGAGTGGACTTGCCCAAGCTTGTGTTTTTGTTTTTGGTGCAACTGAGGTTTGAATTCAGGACCTTGTGCTTACCCCTGGAGCCAAACTCCCAGCTTTGTATACAGCTGCTAGAGAGCAGAGCCCGCATAGCCTGGAAATCACTTGCTCGTGGGGCAGGATGGTGTAGGCTCTGTGACCTTGCACCAGTAACTTAACCTCTCAGAACCTCTGTCTTCTCATTTGAAAAATGAGGATAATAACAGCTTTCATATTGTTGGGTTATTGAAAGGCGAAATGAGGTAATGCTACAACAGGCATTCGTATAGTAATGGCATTGGGACGGCTCAATAAATGTGAGCGATGACTGTGATTACCATCCCTAGGACACTCAAGGGCTGGTGCTGTTCAGCTTATGTCCCAGACGAAGCCCTGGTGCATGAGACTCATCCCTTGTCTCTGTTCAAGACCTACTAAGGGCCAGGCATGGTGGCTCATACCTGTAATCCCAGCTATAGAGGAAGTGTAAATAGGAGGATTGTGGTTCAGGCTGGCCCAGTCATAAAAGTGAGACCCTATTTGGAAAATAATTAAAGCGAAAAGGGCTGGTGGAGTGGCTCAAGTGGTAGCGCTCCTGCTTAGCAAGCAAAAGGCCCTGAGTTCAAATCCCCAGCACTGAAAACAAAACAACAACAAAAAAGTGGACTCAGGGGCTGGGTGTGGAGAAGCAAGGGTCACTGAGTAGGGCCTTGCGATGCCCTCTCACTGCCTGCTATGTGGAGATGGTCAAGAGCCAGTCTGTGCTGCCAGGCACCAGTGACATGCCTGTAATCCTAGCTACTTGGGTGGCTGAGATTGGGAGGTGGCAGTCTGAGGCCAGCCCAGGCAGATAGTGTTGAGAGACCCCATCTTCAAAATAACCAGAGCAAAACGGACTAGAGGCCTGACTCAGGTAGTAGACTGCTGCCTTTGCAAGTGCAAAGCCCTGACTTCAAACTCCACTCCCACCAAAAAAAAAAAAAGAAAGAAAAGAAAAAGCCAGTCTGTGGCCTGATTCACTTCCTGTGATGACTGCTCACATAGATTGTAGTTCTGCTCAGGGCCAAAGACTGGTTGAGCTCTGGTCTGAGACTGATCTTAGCAGACAATGAGACCTGAAGCCTTGCTCACCCAGCCATAGGCTTTGTGGAATTCCATAGGCTCTGTGGAAGCCCAACACCCAGCACAGAGGCCTGCCCGCAGAGGAGCAGCCTGCCTTTCCTCTGTGTCCCCAGCAGCCCTAAGATGCAGGTGGTTGAGCGGAGCTATGTCAATCCAGACAACTTTGCTTTTGGGAAGGAGAGGTGAAAGTCTGCTTTGGAGTAGAAGGATGGGGTGCAAACAATCCGGACTTGAGCTAGAGTGAAGCCACAGGGTCCAGAGGCCTGTGGTCTCCCGAGTCCTCGTTTTCCCTGCTGAGCCCTCCCAGGGACTCTGATTCCTTAGCCTTCCTCCTGCTGATGTGGTCCCTTCAGGATGTGGTCCAGACTAGCAGCTACACACTGCCTTGGTTCTGGGGACTGTCAGTGGGGAGGGTGGCTCTGGTCACATCTCCTGGGACCAAGCTGGTGTCCCTGTGCCTAAGATGAGCTCTCTGAAAGTTTTGGGGTCTGTGGGCAGAACCTTAGCATTTGGAAATTTTATTATGACTGTGTTTGATAAATATATATATATGTATATATATATATTTATAGCTCTATGTGCCCTCAGCCCCTCCCCCACCCCCTAGTTCTTCTCCCTGGCTTTCTGTCTAGTGGCCGTGTAGGGCAGCACCGTCTGCGTGCTCTTGTCTGACACCGTCTGGGTGCTGCTGTTCCTCGTGACCCTTCGGGTCTGTTCTGGGGCCAACGGGGGGCCTGAGTGGCGGCCAGTCAGTGGAGAGCGTCTGGTCTTGTAGGGGGCTGGGGAGGGCTTGAGGGGGCCCATGTGAGGCTCCGTGTGGGGCATCTCAGGAGGCAGGCCCACCTCTTCCTCCTCTGCTTCCTCCTCACCATCCTCTTCCTCGTCATCACAGCACAGAGCATGGTAGAGCACTTTGTCACTGAATCGTACCCTCTCCCGAGTCCCTGGGGTCCGCTGAGGTACCTGGCCCTTTGCAGGGCCAGCGTGGAAGGCCTCCTCGCTGGAGGAGTCAGGGGTCTCCACTCGCGGCCCGTTGGGGATGGGGGTGCCACCATTCATTAGCCGGTAGTCAGGGCCGGCCCCTGGCCTCGAGGACTCAGGGCCATCCATGGAGTCTGACGGAGTGGAGATGTCTAGGAAGGAGCAGAATTCCCAGCTGTCTGAGAGGATATCAGCTGTCATGAAGTCCAGGTGGCCCAGGTCAAAGGGGCCACCCACGCCTGCCTTGTCGCTGCTAGAGGTGCTGCTCACAGTGGCTGTGGTCCAGTCGTCCGGCTCCAGTTCAAAGTCAAAGTCTGAGGTTAGTTTGTCGATCTGGCTCACCACCTGATCAGAAAGGAGAGAGATGAGAGGGGCAAGGTGGAGCCTAGCATCACCTAGGCCTGAGTGTGCTGCTGCCCCACCCTACCCTGCTAGATCCCCTGGCTGGTGGCCACACAGCCTGAGGACCTGAGGTCACAAGCTTGTGTGCCCTGTTAATGGCCCAAGGTGACATGGTGGACAGAATCTGTTCTGGCCATTCCCAAAGCCCATTCACCTCTTTCATTCCTTAAGGAGAGGGGCACTCCTTTCCAGTCCTGTACTTTGTCCATTTACACACTCCTCTCTCCCAAACACAACTACTGTTCTGGAAATCCCTGGTTATCAGGGCTCAATCTTCCTTTGACTGGGAAGGGCCAGAGGACTCCAGCAAGCCTGCTCAGTGGAAAGTGAGCAGCCTCCGACCCTCAGAGGGGCGACAATGAGGACAGCTCTGTCCAGCCTTGTTAATGCGTTCTGAACTAGTCCTTGCTGTCAGCCAGCCACTTCCCAGTGTGTCTCCCCAGCCCTTGGGGACAAGAACTGTAGGTGTGTGGCACTGGTTGGGTTACTGTCCCCTTCCTCCACCTTCTTGCCTCTCCTGCTCACTGATGAGTGGAGCTCTATCCAGGCTTGCTGGAGAAGGAATAAAGCAAGTATTATTTGGTAAGCAATAAAGAAACGATCTATCCTGGGTCCAGGACTGCTTGTTAAATGCACTCAGGGGGCAGCTCAGTTGAGGAGGTCACTGCACCCTGCTCTGCCCTTGGCCTCTGAGCAGGCGGCCCTGCTTTCAGACACCCTCTTGCCTGGGCCTCTGTCAGCACATAAATCAGGGTGGAAGACAGGGAGGGAAAAAGGGAGATGTAGCCAGAGACCTAGAGAGAGGACAGAGGAAGGAAGGAGAATCAGGTCAGACCAAACTAGCAGCACCAAGTGAAGAGGCCAAGCATCAAGCATCAGAGGAACAGAGATCTGACACAGATATATACTCCACATCATCAGGACCAGCACCTCACAAGTGTTCTTCCCCTGGGGTCAGAGCAGTCAATTAATAAATTAACTAATCAAGCCCTTAATTCAACACCAAGGACTGCCACTGCCCAGGGCATGCTAGACTCTTCCGAAAACTGGTGTGGTCAGTGCCCCGAGCTGAAAAAAGAAACAGGCTGCTGGTCGGGAGTTGGGGGGCCAGGTGTAGGTGATCTGGTAGGCTCCTTTCCTCTTGAGGTCTCAGTTTCTCAATCTGGAAATGGGGGTGGTGGGTAAACTAGTTTATCTCCAAGGTTCCATCCACTGCCGAGATTCTAGGAGGCTGTGTTTATAAGGGTGAGTTTGAGAAGCTGTTTGGGTAGTGGATGCCTAAGGATGCCCTTCCACATGGCCCCAGGAGTGGAGGAACCACTTGGTTGAGGCTTGCAGAAGAACTTGGTGGTGGGGTGACATGACACCTGGGGGCCAGACGTAGTTTAGATATTATTCTGTGTATTTGGGCAAGTCACATAACTTCAGTCGGTTCTGGTCAGGTGAGAGATGTCATGAGTCTCTGCAGCCTGAGGTTTGGGGGCAGGAGGGAGCCAGAGTTAAACGACTTGGTTGTGACCCCACAGACTCAGTGGAGGCCAGGCTGAGTCTGGAAGCTGGGGACAAGCTGAGGATGAGCTCATGGGTCATAGACTCTGCAGCAGGAACGTCCAGGGTGCATCAGCAGGAGCCTGGAAGTCGTGGGCTGGTCACGCTCCCCTACCCAGGAAGCCCTGGCTGGCCCCCTCTCAGGAGGCCATCCAATTGGGGATCTTCCTTTCTTCCTTAGTGTGCCTTTCTCTGGTTCCACTCTGGGATATGGAGGGAAGGGAGAGAGGGAGGGCTGCGGGTCAGGTACCAAGTCTGCCCCCTTGGCTGCAGGGCTGAGGGCAGAGTCTCCTGCCCTGTCAAAAGGGATAACATAGCTGGATGATGGTCATGCCTGCAATCCCAACTACTTGGGATGCTAAGATTGGGAGGATTGCGGTTCTAGGCTAGCCTGGGCCAAAAAATCCCAGGGATCCTCATTTCCAACAGAAAAGGCTGTGTGTGATGACATGTGCCTCTCATCCTAGCTAGGATGGGAAGTGTGAAACAGGAGGACTGTGGTCAAGGCCAGCCTGGGTAAAAAGTGAGACTATAACCAGAGCAAAAACGGGCTGGAGCTATGGCTTAAGCGGTAGAGCACATGCCTAGCAAGTGCAGAGCTCTGAGTTCAAAACCACCGAAATAAGGGAAAGGGAGGGTGACACTCCCCTTCCTTGCCTAGGGTGATGGACAGTGTGCAGATATCTCTGTGCTTTAAATCAGCATCAGGACAGCCGGACCCTTAAGTACTGGAGCTCTGGAGCCAGACCTGGGCTCCAACCCTGACATCACTGCTTACCAACTGTGTGACCCTAGCCAAGTTACTCAACTTCTCTGTCACCCTATTTGTTCACCAAGAATTGTAGCAGTACCGACAGCTGCTGTGAGGACTTGAAGCCCAAGAGCAGATAGGTATCAATTCGTTACCAAAGGAAGAACTCTCTGGTGGGGATGTTTCCAGTGCCCGAGGCAGGATTCACGGTTGGCTTTTCATTGCCTGTGCATGGGAAGTACCTATTTTGACTAAAGTATGCCCCTCTTCAGACAGAAGAGAACCAGAAGAGGTCCTCAAAGCCTAATGGCCGGGAGGCTCACAATCAAATCTGTCCCAGTCAGTGAGGTGGGGCAGATAATAACCACTTGGTGAGTGATGGAACTGAGAACCAGAAAGGGGAGCCATGTGCCCACAGGTACCTTGCTTCCAAGTAGAGGCGTGGTCAGTCTGCAAACCTACTGCCCTTCCCTGCTGCCTCATTTCATGGGGACAAGGTAGCATAGGACAGGCCCTGTGCTACCTGCCTCTCTGCTTCGGATGTCTTGAAATCTGTGATTTCTCTGTGAGAGTTAATAATCATTTTGCCTCCATGTAATTTGGGTTTGTCTTGGAGTGGAGGGAAATAACTATATACACAGAAGGAAAGAGGGGGAGAGAGAGAACCAAAAAATCAGTCACAGAGCCTCAAAGTCAGAAGGGACTAAAGATACTGTTGACGCTACCTGTCCTGTTGTGCTAACTAATAGGGAACCTGAGGCTCGGAGTCTAGAAGAAGCTGAGCTGAAGCCAGAAGTCGAATCCTGACTCCTGGGTCTGGTACCTTGAGACCAAGATTGACCTGTTCTGGAGAGGCCAACAGAGAGCACTAAGAACCTGGCCCGTGTCCCAAGGGTGTTCCCAACCTCTGTCCTGGTCCCAGCCTTGGCTCCCCTCCTATACCCACCTAATCTTCCACTGACAGCAACTTCCTGTCCAGCACTTGCTCCATCCAGGGAAATTTCTAAGTAGTCCTCTTGGACCATACCACACCTCTGCTTCCAGCCCCTCCCTGCTCCCTAAACTCCTGAGCCTCCCAAACAACACACCCTACCATCCCTCTTCCCCCTTCAATAAGTAGCCTCTACCTTGCCAGGCCTGCTGCTCACCTCCCCTACTCACCTGGCATGCCTTCCTCCCCTCACTACCCCTACTCAACTGGCACGCCCCACCTCTCACTCACCATGTTCACCTGGTGTGCTCTCCCCCTCAGCCCCACACTCAGCTGGGGTGCTGTTCCCTCTTATCCCCCAGCTCACCTGGTACACCCTCCTCCTTTCACCTCTGCTGCTAACCTGGCATGCTTTCCCTCTGTCTTACCCCCTTCACTCTCACTTCTGGGAGCCTCCCCATCCAGCCCCAGCTGAGGGCGCTATTTGTCATGGCTACACTTTTGTGCACATATTACAGTGCAGTTGAAGTCTGTCTCCCTACTAGATGGCAAGCCCCATGCAGGGTGCGGGGCGGGGGTCAGGTCTATTTACCCATCATTGTACCCCCAGCTTGGAGCAGGCATTGGTGCACTCTGCAAATTGACTGATTAAATGAGTTGACAGAGGCTGGGGGCTTCTTTGCTAAGAAAGTTCATATTCCTGGACACCCCAATATTGCCTGGCTGAGTCCTTCTCCAAGAACACATTTCTGTATTCCCTTAGGCCTAGCAGCCAGGGCTGAGGACCCGGGAGTCCCAGACCCAGCATCTCCCACCTCCCCTCCCTGACAAGCTGCTACCTCCTTCCCTCCTCTCAGCTCCCCGGGCAGATGGTTATATAACTAGGGATTCTGCATTATTTATGACCACTGATTATTTTTTAATTCTGTGATTACGTTGTTTATTATCTTCCTGGGGGGCTGTGGAGTTGGGGAAGAGGGAGAGGGAGCTGACCGTGATTCATGGCTCTCATCTTGCAATTTGGCCTAATTGGCCAGGGAGCCTCGGTGAATCTGTCCGGAGGAGGAGGAGAAGGTAAGGAAGAAGGGAGGAGAGGAAGGCGTGAAAAAAATAAGAAAAAAATCCGTGCAATTCGTACTGAGCTGTGGGTGATGGAGCTGACCCACTTTGGCACAGCCCTGAGGTCCCCAGCCTCTCCTGCCCCAGCTGCTTTCTGGCTGAGCTATATTCATTTATCTGTCACTTGCAAAGCCTGTAGCTTTCCCTGTCACCTCCATACACTGCACCTGGCCGACAGGACTGCACAATTGGACAGCCAGGAGACAGGCTGCCATGGTATCTGCTTCCTATGAAAATCAGATGGAGGGAACCTCCTAGGCTGTGCTCACCAACCCTCCATCCTCCTGAAGTGTTCAGGCCAAGGTAGGCTTCTGTGCCCTTACCCAACTGATAATGTGGGGGATACAGGTGTCAACACAGCGATCACTTTTGAACCTTCAAGGAGGAGAAGGCCACTATCTGCTCAAGGGGAGCTGAACCTCTGCTGGGCAAGGATAAGGACCCTCAACCCTGTCCTTGGGAAGGTTGTGGGTAACGGGGAGACAGACTCCTACCCAGAAACACAGCCAGGAGTTTCCTGGAGCAGTGTCTGGAGTTCTCACTGAGAGCACTTGCTCTCAAGGCTCTGTGTCCCTCGTTCCCACTCTTCTGCTGTGGCTTCCTTGCTGATTGTGGACATCCCCAGGACACCTTCTCTCCAAGACTCTGACACCACAGCTCCCACTACCTGCAACGTTTTTCTCCTCAACAGCCACTGACCTCATCCCTCACTTCCCATAGGTCTCTGTTCACAAGTCATCTTAGTGGAGACCTCCTTTTTACTCTCATCCTGTCATCCTCTGTCCCCTTTCTCCTAGTTAGGCAGCCTACTGCACGTAACACTAACACCAGCCAGAGGCCAGGACCTGGCACTGACTTCCTACTCCTGATGAAGAAGTGACTGCAGAAAACAAGGTTGTGCGTGCAGCTGAGGAGTGGGCGGTGCTAGAATAATTCAGTAATAACATCCCAAAACAGAGCATTTGCCTAGCATGAGCAAGGCCTTGGGTTCAAACTCCAGTACCACAAAGCAAAAACAAAACAAAAAAACCTAACACATATGAGCTGGCTTTGTGCTAAGTACTTTATATATGTTATCTCTGGGGTGAAGGTGTGGGGGAGGCATAAAACTTTGGTATCTTCATTTTATAGATGGGTGAACAGAAGCACCGAGAGGTGAAGTAACTTTCCCAAGTTCGTATAGCTAGGGAGGGGGTGGTGCTCAGATCTGAACCAGAGACGTCTGGCTGCATAGCCCATACTCCTAGGCCCTGGGCTGTGCTGCACCTCTAAATTAAGACCCATGGAATTTGGAGGACCTTAGACAGCCTGCTGGGAGGGACCTGGTATCCTGGAGTAGGGGGGACCTGGGAGAAGGGAGGGCCAATTAACGTTTGAGTGTCAATTCCTCTGAAGCCCAATTTCAGCTTGCAAAGCACTTTTGCACTCCTAACCTCACTTAGTCCTTTAACGATTTTCCCACCAGGGGATAGGTCCTGCTGCCTGTCACCTAGGGAGCTGGTGGCAGAACAATACTGGGGTATTGAGAGTTACGAGAGAGAGAACTCCAAATCCTCCAGAAGCGGAAGTAGGTGTTGGGGTCCCCACACAGGCCAAGCCCCCAATAATTCCTGGCATCATCACCATCCCTGTTTCATAGGTGAGCACACTGGGGCTCAGCAACTTGAGAAGCAAGCACTTGGGTGTCTCTCATTGGTCAGTGAATTTTGGGCTACAGACTCAAGAGGATGAGGCAGGGTTGCTGTAGACAGAGGAGTTTGGTAGAGGGGTATGCAGCTCTCCCTCCTTGCCGCCTTGCTCAGTCATGGAGCTTCCTGTCAGCAACCTGGCAGTGAGGCCTGGGAATCTGGTCTCCACACCTCAGCATACAGCTAGTGGGCACTGAGCAGGCCCTGACCAGGCAGTGGAGTGTGACCAGAGGACAAGTGCTTGCTCCCTGCTGCACCTGGGGCCTACACATCTCCCTGATGGATAAATACCACACAAAGGAACTGAGTGGAGCCAGGCAGATCAACTCTATGCCCACTTAGAGGGCCAAGAGCCAAGAACACAGACTCCAGAAAGCAGGTTCCAAACCAGGCTCTGGTACCCTCACTTAGTACCCCCATTCCCACAAACCCCATCCCACAGAAAGTCAGTTATGGCTTCTCTTCTGCCCAGGCTCCACATCTTACTTGCCTTCCCCTACTCCCCTATACCTATCCTCCCATGTCCATATCTCCCCTTGCCTGGGTGATGAGGGAGCTCTGAGACTTGCCCCCTCCCCAGCGGGGTGCCATTGGCAGCGGGTAGGCAGTGGCATACGGGGTAGACTCTGGTTACCATAGCAACCTGCCAGTCTTGGGTGGAGACGCATGGCCTACAGGGTGTGCGGGGGGAGGGAACTCATCTTTCTTTGTCCTGGTTCAGGCCCCTGTGGTACCAAAGCCTCTGACCTGAAGGTTGGCTGTGGTTGACATGGGAATGGGAGAGTATGAAAAGGAAAAGAGGGACATCATGATGTTTTAGCATCAGGGCATGAGCAGAAGATATCATCTCTTCAAATGTCAAAATGCAGGGACTGCCCTGTAGCCCACCTGCTAAAGCCCCAAGTTAGACATCAGAAGCGTGAGTTCTAAGGCTCAGTTCTGCCACTGGTTGGCTGTGTCAGAGGGATAGACAAGTCCTATCCCTCTCTGGGCCTCAGTTTCTTCAATGGTAAATGTACAGGGATGGTTTGGATTACCTGTGAGATCCCTTCAAGCTGTGGATGGCAAAGCTGGGGGAGGGGTGCAGGTGCTCTATGGGAAGTAGGCTCCAAGTTGAATCAAGGCTGTATCAAGGATGATAGTCAGCATCGGCTCTTTTTGAGTGGGCCTGCTGGGACACGGCTCCCAGGTCTCCGCCCAAGACTAGGCCTCTAGACAGTTCCCATGGCCCCAATACCATCTGAACAAGAAGGGCTGGGAGAGGATCTGTGTGGTAGGAGGGATTGCTCAGGGCCTCTAGCCTTTCACTTCCAAATTGCAGTCCCCAAAGCTGAGCAGCCCAGCCCATGTGCAGCCTAGTCTATGGGAGAAGCACTACCACCCCTGTCCACCTGAAGTAACAGACATTCCCACCTCCTGATGGACTTTGGGATAGGTTCCATGAGTCTGTTTGGTTGTTTGTTTTTGGTGGTGCAGGGTTTGAACTCAGGGCTTCATGCTTGCTAGGCAGGCACTCTACCACTTGAGCCACTGTATCAGCCCGTTCCATAAGTCTGATTCTAGGTTAGGGGCTCTCTTTCCTGGCATTTCTGTAAGTCCCCCTTCCCCCCCAGCGCTAGACACAGCACTCTGTTCAAACAATCCCTGTTCCTTGGGACTCAGGCCAAGTGGGGGAAGGCAGGTGAGGAATGCCACATTGCCAGCCTGGAGTTGGTACCTGACATCACCCCACTTGCCCTGCCCTCCTATAGAGCCTTATCCTCCCTGCACAGCTGGCAGGGAGAGCTTGAGCCCATAACTCCAGCTCAATCACTCTCCCTGCTATCTCTGCGGGGGCCCTGGTTACAAGGAGTTGAAATTTGCCTAAAGCCCACCTGGCTGGTGTAATAGCACCCAGCGGAAAAATTCAGGCCAGCGGCTCAGAACGCTGGTCATGCATTTTGGGCTTGAACGCAGCCCAGGGGGCAGGGCGGAGGACATGTGTACCTCATTACCCCAGCGATGTGGGAAGCAGTAATTAAACCAGGCTCCACTTAGAGACAGAGAAGGACACACATATCCCAGCATTTCTCAGCGACTTTTCAGCCTTGGCAAAAATATTCAGGAACATCCCCTGTGGGAGTGAGACTCATCCCCTTAGCAAGGATTTCTGTCCCTGCAAGGCCCACAAGGATCCCTGATAGCCACTGGCCTAACCTCATTGTTACTCTAGGACAGGGAGGGCACATCTGGCAGTTGCTTTTTTCCAGATCAAGGGTTGGGAGTATGTGTGATCTTTGGGGCAATGATTTGAGCTAGGCCTTGAGCAGTTGGGGACAGCTTCACAGAGCCATCCACATGCTACGAGAACCCCTGTGACCAGCTGAGAGTCCAGGATGGAGATGGTGGGGTCAAGAGTCAGCTTGGGGTCCAGAAGAGTGTCTCCCACTAAGAAGCTATGGTGGGATTCAGTCCTTATTGCTCATCCTGGCAGTCCTGAGTGCAACCCACAGAGCTGGGGCCATGGACATGGGGCCAAGCAACACGCTACAGGAGGCCCCTGGGTCTGATGAGATTTTTAGTAAAGCAGATTTGGGAAAAGGGGAAAGGAGACCCTCAGCCAGGGACACAGGTGCACACAGCTTGGCACACTCAAACACACAAGTATATGTTTTGCTGCCTAAAGGGGAAGACTGGTCTAGGGTCTGTGTGGCCCATTGGCCCCTGGCTTACCTCCCTCAACTCCTTGGCCACCTCTTTGAGCTCTCGAAGGATGCCTTCCAACTGCCCGATGACCATCTTCATGCGCTGTCGGATCCGCTCCCGCTCGCCACCACCGCTGGGGTCGTCACTGGGCTGCCCGAGGTCCGGGGCGCCCCGAATGTTCATCCTTCACCACGTGGCCGCAGGCCTGCCCATACTTCCCCCACCCGGGCACACGCTGCGTCTGCCTCCACGGAGCCCCCCTCGACCGGGCAGAGCTCCACATCTTAACGGCCCCCCAGCCCACCCTGGCCCTGGGCGGCCCTCACCCAGCCCCTGGCCCCTGCCACTCCGCCCTCTCTGCCTCTGGGTGGGGAATGGAACACCCAGAGGGAGACGGAGTCTGACAAGAGGGGGTCAAGGTGAGGACACAGGAGGGCAGGGGGAGGGGCGTTTGGTCCCAGGAGTGGCCTCCAGGACTTGAAGTGCCTGTGGGTGTTCAGAGCTGATCTCTGCCTGGGCCTGGGCACCGAGGCAGGGGGATGACTCTGCAGGGAGTAAGGGTAAGAGGTGTCCTTGGGATGGGGGATGGCAGCGGTAGGTAACCCCTCCACAACTCCTGGGCAGTAGCAAAGGCAGAGGTCTCTGGATGCAAGTGACACTTGCAGAGGGAAGGTGGCCAGGGTCTTCCAGATGTGCAGGGGGCTCCAGATGTGGGCGGCTCTGGAGAGGGAGGTGGATTGGAGGAGGGCAGCCCCCTGCAGAGAGAGCGAGCCTGGCGTCAGCCCTCCCAGGCTGCAGCACCAGCCGGTTGCCGCTTCCTCCCTCCTCTCCCTCCGGCACCCTTCCTTGCTCGTTATTTATTTTTTTCTTCGTGGGGAGGGGTGGTGGAGGCAGATGGTTTTCAGCACACCTCTCCTCTAGAGGTAGAGTGTCAGAGCCCCTGCTTTAGAGGCAGAAGTCCTCAGCCTCCTCTGGGGCACCCTGGCCACGGTTTCCCCCACCCCCACCCCCAAGCAAAGCCAGGGCCTCTGGTCCTCCCTCCTCCTCCTGGTGCCCCCCGGGTGCCCTCTTTCCCAGCGGACCCTCCCTCCCCGAGCCCCGCCTTCCCTCTGAAGCCCGGCTTCCGACTCACCGAGGGTGGGGGCACCGGCCTTCCTCCCAAGCAGCGTCGGGGGCCAAGCCCCAAGAACGAGGTTGGGGGGCCCCCAAGGCTCCCTACGGCGGGCTTCTCTCTCTGGACCCTTCTGCCCCCGGCCTCGGGGAGGTCCTCCGAGCCACGGCCGGAGACATCTGGGCGGTGGGAGGGGGCGGGGCCTCCGCGCTCCAGGGAAGGGGGCAGGAAAAACCTCCCGCAACCCCCGCCAGGCTCGGGTCAGGACCGGCGAGGGCCGCGTGCTCGGGGCCCCGAGGCCACAGGTGACCCGAGCGCTGGGTGGCCGAGACGACGCCGGGCCGGTCCCAGAGCGGAATCCAAAGTCGGAGGGCTGCGAGGGCGCGGGGATCCCCTCAGCCCACGCCCGGCATCCCCCGGGCTCAGCACCGTTCAAAATTCGCTCTGTCCAGTCCAGATCTGAGGGGGGCCGGGCTCCGCTGGGGTCGGCCCTACCCTGAGAGAGCTGGCACCGCCGGGCGCCCCGGGCGCTCTTAGCCTGGACCTAGAATGTCCGCGCTCCGGCACCCGCGGCGTCCGGAGCCGCCGCGAGGATCCGCTTAGCCCAGTCCCGCAGTCGGCCCAGGGCGAGACCTCTCCACCGCTCAGTCTACGATCGCAAAGGTCCGGAGCCCGCCGGGCCCGGGGGAGGGGCGGCGTCGGCCGCGGGGATCCAGTCTTCCTGCGGGGCAGAGAGCGCGCAAGGCTGGGGGGGCCCGCCGGGCTGGGTTCGGCGGCCGGGGCGCGGGTGGGAGCGGCGCCCAGCGGAGGATCGGAGAGGGGAGGCGAGGAGGCGACAGGAGGCGACGCGAGGAGGCGAGGCGAGGGAAGGAGGGAGGGGAGGGGCGCGCGGCGGGCCGGGCCGGGCCGGGCCGGGCCGGGGCGCACGGGGCTCGCAGCCTCCGTTCGCCTCCCGCCGCCTCCTGCCCGCTCCCTCTAGGCGTTCGGCCTCGCAGTCCCCCGCGCCGGGTCGCTGCCGGCGGGGCAAACGGGCTCCGGGTCGGGCTGGGCCTCCCTGGCTGCCTCGCCTTGCCCTGCCCGCCGGGCTCCGCGGGCCCGGGCCGGCTCCCCGAGCGCCGCGCCGCCCGCGCCCCGGCCGCCCCCGGCCCGCCCCGCCGCCCCCCGCCGGACTGGCCGCCCGGGCGGGCGCTGGCTCCCTCCAAGGCCGCCGGGCTCGCTCGACTCCGCTCGCCACGGCGCTGTCAGGGAAGGGGCGGCCCGGCGCGCCGGGAGGGAGCTTTTAAAGCGACACACACGCCTCCCAGCGCAGGGAGCCGGAGGCGCGTGCCGAGGGGTCTCGCCACCCCAGGGGGAGGAAAGGGTGCTCAGCTGGGGGGGCTGCAGGAGAACTAGTCGGCCACCCGCCCGCTGACCCGGGCGCCGGAACTAGGGACTTAGCTCCTTTGCCACCTTTCCAGATAGCCCTAGGTCCCCTACCCCCACTGCGGGGCACCCCTAGCTTCCCTTCTGCTAAGTTTTCCCGCACTCAGATCTTCCCCCCTCTCCCCAAACTACTCTAGACCTGGCCTTAAGTCAGATTAATTCACAAAACAGAATGCAACCAATCTACGGGTGCCGCTCTATGGGGGCAGGGTTGGGGGCTTCCGCAGAGGACTCTAGCTAGGCTCTGGCTGCAGGGAGGAAAAGCAGCACGTGGGGACACTCCTGAACAAACTGGGGGAGGAGGAGGGAGTACATGCAGGACAGAGGCAAGTTCCAGAAGCAACCCTAACATGGGGAGAGGTACTGGGTGGAGTGGAGGGAGGCTCTCCAGAAAGACAATCCATGAGCTGAAGCTAAAAAGAGAAGTAGGGCTCATCCAGGGGACTATCATGGTGGGGGAAGTAGAGGGTCTGCATTCCAGGTGTGAAGAAGGGTGGGAGCCAGGGCTCAGGAGGAACCATGGGGGAGGCAGAGTTTAGATGCCTTTGTGACTGCTCCATGGGGCTTGCTTGGGGGAAGACTGGATCCAGAGAGACAGAGGCCAGAGCTAGGAGCTTGGATTTTATCCTGGGGCAGAAGGGAGCTATGGTGTTGGAGAGGAAGCTGGTTCCATTTGTTGTCTCAGGAGATCCCTCTGAGCACTGCCAATGGTGGGCAGGAGGGTGAGACTGCAGTCAGGTCAGCGGACCAGTTAGGAGGCAGTTACAAGATTTGGGGGGGCTCTAGTCTGTAATCCTAGCTTCTTGGGAGGGTGAGATAGAGAGGATTACAGTTCAAGGGTAGCCCAGGCAAATACTTTGTTAGATGCCCCCCCCCCCCATTTCAACAGCAAAAAGCCGGGCATGGTGGCCTGCACCTGTCATCCCAGCTACAGTGGAAAGTATAAACTAGGAGAATTGTGGTCTAGGCTGGGCAAAGAGCAAGACCCCACCTCCAAAATAACCAGAGCAAAAATGTGTACAAGTATGGCTCAAGTCGAACAGCACCTGCCTAACAAGCACAGGACCCTGAGTTCAAACCCCCATACTGAAAAAAAAGAAGAATGAAGGGAGGCGAGCCAGAGGAGCAGCAGGGATAAGGGGCAAGTGATGAGAGAAATAATTTGGAACCCGGTAGAACTTAGCCACTCACTGACCTTTGAGAAGTTAAGGCAGGCCCAAGCTTTTGGCTTGTAGGCTGGGTAGCTGGTGGTGCCACGTGGGAGAATGGAGGAGAAAGAGCTGTGCTAAGGAGGAGTCTGGGACAGGTGGAGAGATCCAGAAGGCAGGTGAGTCTATGGACCCATGCTCATGGGAGGGGCTGGGATGAGGGTAGGGTTTTTTGGGTTTTTTTTTCACTCATTATTCAGGGTAGGGGTGAGGGATAAGCTTAAGCAGGCCAACATTCAGAAGTAACGTAAGCAGTGGGTCCAGGCTAGAGGCTTGGAAAATAGGCCAGGAGAGAGATGGAGAAGGTTCAGAAGATGGGGTTTGAGGAAGCCAGTGCTCAGTGGTGACCAAAGGCTTTGGAGAGCCCCCAGTACCGAGAGGAGGAACAGAAATGCCCATTGATTTTGGTATTTGGTAGGCCATTGATGACATGGCAGGGGCAATTTGGTATGTGTGCAGGGTGACAGGACCTAAATTGTGGCTGGTGAGGAAGAAGAGTGGGTAAGTGTAGTCGACAGGGAAGAGGAGCTCTGAGCTCCAGGCAGGTAGGAGTCAGTTGGGGGGCTGGATTGGATCTCGAGACTGGCCCCCCGGGGTTTGGATTCCAGGTCCTAATGTCTCACCTCCTCTGAGTTCTCTCAGAGCTCTGTTCTAGGGGTCTTCCAGAGGCACTGGGTATTCTTCAATGTTGAGAGTCAGCTAAGTGGAACACAGCTTCTGGGGGACTGGAGCTGTGCAGAGGAGATCCAGCCTCCCGGGCTGGGGAACATGCTCTCCTGGGGAACCTACCAATCACTTTGGTTTAAATTATGGTAAAATAGGCACAACAGAATTTGGCGTTGTAACTATTTTTAAGTACATGAGATGGAAATCACACAGGCCCAGCAATCACTTTTGTGGAGGAAGTTGGGATGTTAAGGGATGGCCAGCATCAAACCAGCTAAGCCTGAAACAATAAGATGAATTGCTAGTCATAGGTCTGGAAGGCTGCACCCTCATCCAGAATGGCGGACATGCATTTGAACTGGGAGTGTCTGGAGCCACTGAGATTGTTTTGAGATTACTGCCTAACTGGTCTTGGCAGTCGTTAATGGAAGCACGCTGCTTAGAAAAAGGGAAGTTACATTTCTTCTGTCACCTAAGCTATGTTTTGGACCTTCATTCATTCATGGCATGTGTGCACAGAACGGCAGCCAGTATGGAGGGGATGGGGTGAGGACTGGTGTGTCCTGTGAAGAATAACTGGGCTAGCCAGGACAGGTCAAAGAGCAGACTCAGGAGAAAAGGTCTCCATGGTAAATTCCAAAAGGGCTACCAGAGGCAGGAGGAAATAGACAGGATCTGGGGTGCTCAGGGTTGCCTTCCTGAGTAGGCATTGACTGATTCTCTCCCCTCTGCTCCTCACCTCCAACCTCCCTGGCCACCTACGCAGATGTCCAACCCTTCAGATCTCCCCAGCCCCACCGTGAGGCCATCTTTCCTGAGAGAAGTGGATGTGTTCTTTTGGCCCTTAACCAAATACTTCCCAAGATGTTCATTTAATATGCAAGCTGTGTGACTTTGAGCAAGTCACTTAACCTCTCTGGGTAGAGTGAGGAGCCCATAAATACTTTTATGTCTTTCTGAAATGACTATCTTGCCGGAAAAAAAAAAAGGCTGTTTTCAATTGTCTCTTGGACTCAGAAAAATAGGGGTGATAGTGGTACCTACTTTCCAGGGTCATTGTGAACGTGAAATAAGATAATGCAGGTGGAAGTACATGGCCCAGGGCCTGGCCCTGGGTTGATGCTCTATAGACAGTGGCTGCTGACAGCTTCTATTAATGGCTTCATGCCTGGAAGTATATCTCCTTTTGAGGCTGTGAACTCCCCACGATGATTCTCCGTGTGTCTCTCGCATGGACCAGTGTAGTTGGCAGTGACAACTAGTGACTTTGACTAGTTGAAGTACTACCTCCACCCATCCCTACCCAATTGCCACCAGGCAGGCATGTGACCCAGATTGCACCAATCATTGAACCTCATTCTCCAGCAACAGTGATTGGTCCACGGGTGGGCACAGAACCCAAGCAGGACAAATCAGACTTTTCCCTGGGATTTATATGCAGATGTTAGGCAGAAAGAAGCCCTCTTCCTATTGGGTACAAAGCTGGATGCTGTGGGCTGCTGATCGGCCATCTTTCCCACTTAGCATTGCATGCCAAGCAAGGCAAGAGAGAAGAGAGGAATTTCGAGAGCTATTGAGCTCCGATTTTGGTTCTTGTGGAGTTGGTTCCTGCCATCCTTCTTTCAGTCCTGTGAGCTGCAAAACATGCTATATTCCTAACAGAGCAAAATAAATCCCTTATGTTGCTCCAGCTTGTTTGGTTGGGTGTCTGTCTTTCATAACTCATAGGATCCTGGCAAATGCACTCAGGAAATCCTAAGTGAAGTGACTGAATGATTGACTGTATGATTCTCTGATAGGTGGATGTCCAAACATCTTG